TCAGGCCATATTTGCCCATGCGCTGACACCCCTGCGCAGCAGGGAGCCACCGCGACCCCCGTGTGAAGCCCCAGAGGCTCCGACAGCCCCAGCGTGCTGCGAGGGCATCGCATGGGACACGTTCCATGGACATCCCTCGGCATCTCCTCATGCACAAACTTCCTGCAAGGCACCCGGGGTCCAGCTTGGGCTGGCGGGTGCAGGCGACAAAGAGAGGCAGAATAAAGAAGGAGGGAGGATGTATTTTTTTTTTTTTTGCTTTTTAAGGAACCCAAACACAGGGCACTTCCACCAACTCCTGTTCAGTCTGTTATGCCAGCAAGCAGCTGCCAGTTCCTGCCTGGCACCAGTTTTGATTTGTTTTTCTCTCCTCTCCAAACCCTCCCTCTCCCCAATATTTATCCCCTCCCTGCTGTTTCATCTCTCTTTTATTTTATTATTTCCCCTGTTCTCCCTCTTACCCTGTCCACGGGACTCCCTCCCACCACCAAATGCAAAGCAACACATGTGGGAATGACAGCACCTCTGGCGAAGGGATGGAAACGTGATGCGACACTCAGTGGACCAAGAGGAGGAAAAAAAACAGATATAAAAAAAAGATATTGTGCCCACAACATACACACACTTTTCTCCAAAAGAGGGATAAACAGAGGGATGCGCTGCAAGACGGCAACATAGAGGGAGGAGAAAGGGTTGGTTGGGCAAGGGGAGGTGGAGAAGAGGTGGAGGCGACAAGTGGAGCATGCCTGGCTGCCGCAGGAAAGACTGGCACAAAAAAGAAAAAAAAAGTATATATAAAAAAATAAATAAAATGTACATATATGTACAACTAAATATAAATATATTAAACGCATATATAAAATAATGATGCCACTGATGCTGGAGGTAGCCTGGGATGGATAAGGCAGGAGGACATCTTGGTGGAAGGAGGACTCCTTGGAAGCCAGTGGAGCTGGATGGCTACAAACCAGACGGGCATGTGCCATGCACCAGGCCTGCTGCTTCATACAGCAATATCTTCCCCAGAAAAAAAGCCCCCATCCAGTTCTCGCCTTTATAAGAGGTGCCGGGCACTCGGGAAGAGCAGAGCAACGGGCTAGAGACTGGGGTCACAGTGGTGGCCCCAAGGCAGACACACAGCATGCCCGGGGTGGTACAGACAAAACAGCAGTGTCCCGAGCAGCTGCCTAATATGTATCTTGGCAAAGCCGGGCCTGGCGGCAGATGAAGCATAATCTACAGGCTGCAGTCGCAAACCCATCAGCTGGGCCCATTTCTGCTCCCCCGGCCTGCTCACGCAAGGCAGTCGGGGACCGGAGCTCTGGGT